TTGTGAGTTCGAGACCAGCCTTGGCTACAAAATGAGTTTAAGGCCAGCCTGAACTGCATAGCGAGACACTGTGTCAAAAAGACAAAAAAAAAAAAAAAAAAGAAACAACAACAAAAAGAGAGACAAATATGAAAAATTCTCAATTCTTAATCTCGGTTTTGACCTATTTTTTTTTAAGTTTGATTAGTCAATAGTAAAATAGGAGGGCACTAATGTTAAAATCAATTTTGCAACAGTGGATATGAGCTTGTAGTTAGCACACCTGATGTTAAAAATAAGTCTCCAAAGGGAAATGTTTGCAATCAATGAGAAAACCACCATGGCAAACTGTACACACAAGGAAAGGGGTCTGTGTTCATTTCACTATGGAACAGTAGAAGGTATGAGGGTTGCCAATAAACTACTTCACTATGCAGGCACTCAGCACTCTTGATAACTCAAGTTCACTGCCGCACAAGGCGCTGTCCTCACATCTAACAGTCATACGATGTCACCTCAACTTCTAACAAGCCCCACACCCACTGATGCAGGGAGATTCCCTAGCGCCTCTCCTTACTTCATTTCCTTTAAAATGTGCCATTTCCGTAACAATAAAATGTTTAAAAATTGAGATTAAAGTCTCCTTTAATAATCAAAAAAGACAAGGACAAACAAATATGTAATGCTCAAGAAGGGGCTAAAATAAGCTGAAAATACAAAACTATACTTTTTTTCCCTTCTTTTTTGGTACCAGGAATCGAAGTCAGGGCCCCACGCTTGCTAGGCAGGCGCTATACTGCCGAGCTACATTCCCGGCCCCAAAACTGTGCTTTTAATGCATCTGGAAAATAAACCTGTGGGTCAGAAATATTCAAGACATCATATATATATATATATATATATATATATATATATATAATATGTGTGTGTGTGTGTAAAATAAACATATAATATATAAATATAACAACTACCTTAATGAAAACACACTGCCTTAAAAAAAAAAAACACACTGCCTTTTTTGTATTTAGTAACCTTTTCACATGCTTTAAAACCATAATTCACTCAAAAGTACAATTCAATTTAATACCTGAATTAAGGTATCATAGAAAAAGTTAGCTTTATGAAATTTTAAACTTCAGAAACAGAAAGTGCTTAAGCACCAAATTCACACTCAGGCCAGCATCACTGTGGTTAGGAGAAAGGGGAGAGGCTTGTTAGGGTTCTGCGACACGGAAGGAACACAAGAACATGGTCGTTTGGACAGAACATGGTTTGTTACTTAGGAAGAGCAAGAAGCACAAATACTTTTTAGCTTTGTTAACATAAGACTAGAGGGTTCTATAGTAAGTATAATTAGAAAACACTAATATTTGCTTGGCTTTTGTATTTACTTAATGAACATGAGGTGAAAAGATGAACCAATTTGGAATGAAAATGTCGTAATCTCACAGTCAACTCCTAATTATCCACACTAATGAAAAAAGGGGATTATTTTAAGTAATTCCAAAAAAATGGACGGAGAATTCTCAATTTACTGTTACTGTTGGCCAATTTTTTCCCTTAAAGTAGTCTGTCCCCTGATAGCTTAGACCTCAATGTTTTAGGGACCCAAAATGGGCTGTCAAGAATAGGCCTAACCAAAAGATCATTTCCAAAGTGAATCATCCATCCATAGATAACTGAGTTGATGTGACTGACACATATTCCAATGAATAAACTGCACGTGAACACTACATGCCAAGCATGCTCTGGAGTGATTTCTCAAATTGTAACAGTGATTTCCCTAGCAATAGCAAAGCATGCTAGCACCTTGGCCAGGGAACAAGCAGCTTACCTCCTGCAGCAGGTCGGCCTGTTCAATTGCTTTAAGGACATTTTTCTTGGATGTTTCCTGAACTTCTCCTCCCAAAAGAAATTCATCCAGAATAAAATAGGCCTTCTCAAAATTAAAGATGATGTCAAGTTCACACACCTGAAAAGCAAAACACAAAAACAAAAAATTGTGAAAGCCAGATGCTTACTTACCATCAGTAAATAAAATCTGAGCAGAATATATCGATATTAATTCTTTCTAAAAATGGCAATTACACTAAGAACCATTGATTTAAGTAAGTTTCATTCTTAAAACTCAAGTATTTGAAAAGAGAATACCTGCAAAATAAATACGATCTGGCCCGGTCTACTCCCAATGTAACTTAATATGATTAAACTGCTAACCGTATCTGAATTTTGTACTAAGTGCTCCCAAAATATTAACGTTTGCAGTTGGATTCCTTTCTATTTTATTATTTTAATTCATTCTTACCATCATAATTAAATGAGTGAGTCTACAGGGCCAGTAATTCTTTTAGTTAACTGACTAGAAACATTGACAAGAAAAACTCATTTCTGCCTTCTCTCTACAGTTTAGAGTCCCAAAGACAACCAAATAATCAACTTGTTAGAGAAAAGAGTTTAAAAAATAAAAATACTATGGCATTCAATTTCTTAAAATATTACTCACACTGCCAAAATACTTGTCAAGTAATTCCACATAACGATGAATTATTTCCAGGGTAATTAGTTCATTGTCCTGATCCTCAATAGCACAGCAAAAATACAGACTAGCATATCTGTAACAAAACACAAATGTGGAAAAAAACATTACCCCTATAATCACCTTTTCCAAATATGTTTTCATGTCCAATTGTGAAAGACCTCATGCTGTAAGCATGTTTATTTCTTTTACAATAGTACAGATTATTTTTCTCCTAAACTACAAAATATACGCGTTAGAGAAATTTTGAAAAGCTCAGGCAGACAAAAAGAAAAAAAAAATTATTCAGTTATACCACCCAAAAAGAGTAACTGATTTTGCTCATCTCTTTCAGGTTCCTTTCTATAAACATTTCAAAACACAGCTGACCCAAGTATTCTTAAATTTATTTAATCAGAACAACATATACTATATTGTTAATTCAAACTACAAGGAAACAAGGAAGAAAATTGAAAGTGTTGTCAACATGAAGTCAATGTTTTGGAATGCCAAACACAGCGAAGACCTCAAGTCATGAAAGATCAATGAGTTATCAGAGTGAAGTCTGGGGACCAGGGATATAGCTCAACAGCATAGGCACCTGCCTGGCAAGCACAAGGTCCTGAGTTCAATTCCCGGTGCCAAAAAAAAAAAAGGCATCAAAGTGAACCCACCAATGTACCAGCACCCAGATCACAGGACATTATGGAGGCCTGAAGCCCCTCTAGTCAGAGCCTCCCACCAGCAGGGGTAACCACTATCTCAGCTTCTAACGGCATAGAATGTTTTGAAAAAGGAGGTTTCTATGACTGTGGAGTAAACCCCAAGAAAAGAACAAGAGTTCTAATTTATTACAGAAATTAGAGAAAGAGAACTGAAAGTTCTTAAGGGACTTAAAGTCACTTAAGGGAAACTGAGACCTGTTTTCAAATTTTCCAAGTCCTTGGAAAATGTTGTTGAACTGAAGCTTCTGCCAAGTTGTGTGCTGCTCAACTAACAAATAGGTTATTTACTCAGACTCTCCTCCAAATTAGGATTATGGCATATAGGACTGGGTCACCCAAGAAAACCAAACTTATTAATGAACAATCTTGAGGCATAGCAGCTCCTCTGAGGAAGATTAACTCAGTATTTTAAAATGGTTCAAGGGCATTTAAAGCTTTGGGGAAGAAAGAAAATAAGAACTAAAATATTCTAAACAAATCTCAGTTGAAATGGTAATTTTCACTGAGGAGTACTTAAGTGATTTTGAGAAAACACAATGGGCAATTACGGCTTATGGCATTAATGTAAAATAATAACACACAACCTCAGTTTTGAATTCCTACTTCTCTGTATGAAAATATTCTAGTATTTGCAACCGTACTAATTTTAATATTATCAGAGACATTTTATTTGATCTTTTCAACAGCAAGTGCTACCCTCCTTGATTACAGATTAAAACAAAAATATAAATCGATGAGGCCCAAAGCACTACTCCTACAAGAAACCCAGACCTCCCACTTTAACTCTAGCCATTTTTCCATTCTATCATATCAACTCCTTTGTCATACAAATCGTGACTTGCATTTTCAGTAGATTATTTACAGTGTGGGTCTGGGCAGTCTTACTGAGTAGGCACTTCAATGTGTTCATTTATCATCATGAAGGGAATACATCATGGGAGAGACAACAGGACACTGCCTTCAACTCTTAACAAAGTGCTTCTTTTCTTTCTCATCATCACCCTGTTTTTGTTTATCTGTTTAAAATGAAATGGGATAATGCAACTCTCCATCCTAACTCATGCTTTTGAATGGGATTTTCATTTCGGAGAAAGTGACACAAAGGATACATAAGAGTCTGAATTAAGAAAACTTAAGGTTAAAGAGAATAAAAATGGTGGATTAAATACCAGATCTGGCTACTTGATATGAACAGAATACCAAAGAATTCTATGTAAGAGTTTACTAATAGTCCATTTTGAGTAAAGTTCCTCATTTTCAAGATTTCCTAGCCAGGTGTCATGACCACACATTGCTCACACCTGTAATCCCATTGTTCTGGGAAGCTGAGGCAAGAGGATCACAAGTTCAAGATCAGCTTGGGTAACTTAGGAAGAATCTGCCTCAAAATACAACATTAAATAAAAGGGCTAGGGATGTAGCTCAGTGCAAAGTCCTTAGGTTCAATTTCCAGTACCACAAAAAACAAATAAACAAACCTTTTTTCAGTGTTACAGTTAATCTAATGCTTGCAGGTCCTCACACCTTATCTGTAGTACTGCCTCTTTATTTACAAATAAATAGTATTCAAATCCAAGTCAAAGGTCCTAAAATTGTATGAATCATTCAGAAGCATGGATCTAAAAAATAATCTGATGTGCCTAAACATCAGCCAATAACATTTTAAAAAAGAAAACTACCCTCCAACACTATGTAAATTTTGTGTGTGTCTCTTGTGCAGTGCTGGGGATGGGGACGGAACCCACGGCCACAGTAAGTGTTAGCAAGTGCTCTACCACTGAGCCCTTCTCCCCTCCCTCTAAATGTTTGCTTTCACTAAGAATACAAGAAGGGCCATCCAATTAATGAATTCTTCCTTGCAGGTGAATAGATAGCTATCAGGATGATAAGATAATCTTTCAGAAAGCTTAGGGACGGAGAAACAGAAGCATAATAATAGGTACCACTGACTGGGTCCTCACTTTAGGAGAGGCACTAGTAAATGTTACCTAAGGCTTTTGCATACTTCACCATTTTAATCTTCACAACAACCCTACCAAAGACACCATTATTATTTGCATTTATAGGAGACCCAGGTTTGAGCAACCTGCCCAGAACAACAATTTGGCCCCGCAGCTCAAGTTTGACATTAAAAATCAGAGCTAGCAACTGTATTAAAATAATCTTGCACCTGACAAAATTAAAATATGTTCAAAGCAATATTTTAAGAGCTTGGAAAAGAGAAATAAAAGCATCACACTGATTTAGTAAAGGATTACCAAGAGAACCTGAAGTGTACCCCCTCTATTTTTAGTATCAAATGGTTTTTAAAAATTCGATAATGAGCTCATTTTGTTTTCTTAGTGCGTATTTGTAAGTCTAAGTCAGAAGTAAAATTAATAATAGACTAGTAAGAAGAAAGGTATGTTTGGTTATTTTTAGCACAGTGGATTAAGGCTTACTCTAATTACTGGCACTCAGAACATCTGAAAGTGCCTATTCTTATATTCAAAACACATGACTTTTCTGCAGTCAGCTAAATATCAGCTGACTGTGGGTGAATGGAGTTAAACTGTTCTCAATACCCACTGGTATGTCATTAGAAATTCTTTTTGTTAGTAAAGAAAATCAATAAGTACCGTTCAACAAATTCTCAAGCTAGTAATGTGGGAATGTGTACATTTTAAAATTAATTCTAAAAGACTTTCATCCAATCCCTGTTCCATAAAATGCTGCATAAAATAGAAATCAGAAAGCATACAATATTTTGTCTTCAAGAGCATTTATTTTAGGGACAAAGAAAAATGGCAAAGGGACTTGTTCAAAGTCACAAAGCCAGCTTAATGGCATTCAAAGGGACAGAGCTCAAGCCCTCAGATTTTCAGTCTGTCTTTTCAGCTATATTATCACTATATCCCTACCTCTGCTTCTCCAAAAGGGGAAATCTATCTATGCCAAACCAGGATGAAGAACATGGATGAGACAATTTAACAAGACATAAAAAGCTAGACATGGCAGCTCATGCCTGTGATCGCAGCCCTCTGGGAAGCTGAGGCAGGAGGATCACAAGTTCAAGCTTGGCCTGGGCAACTTAGCGAGAACGTGTCTAAAAGGAAAAGAAAAATGCTTGCTGATATGAATGGCAAAAGTGCTAGTTCAGAATTTCTCAGGAGCTAAGCTGTACAGTAATTCTCTCGGTTAATTAAGAAGGTCTTTTCTTCCAGATGGAGCAGGGAAAACAAATCATCTGCTAATGTCAACAAAAAACATGTCACTATGTGGTAAGTAGACGAGTTTTCAGTATGAAATGGGCAGGGGGGAAAGCACACAGAAAACATACGTATACATTCCATGTTCTATACGTGAGAATTTTTCAAGTCCACCTTTTATTTAAAGGAGATTTGATCTAAGTATTAGAATCCATTAGATTTCTCTTTATAACTTTTTAAGAAAAGCAGCAGCCCAACAGGGACAGGCTGGGTAGCATGTATAAGGACACCAAGGAGCTCTTTCCTTCCTTCCTTCCTTTTAACAGCCCATTCACAGGCTTGATTCCCTTGCTAGTATTTTCCTCCTCCACACGGGGGACTCCTTTCCCTATCTAGAAATAGGCTTAAGCCTCACACTTTTTTTTTAACCCTGTCTATGGATGGTTACCACCTCTTCTGTCCTTCACAGTAAATCTCCCCAAAATAGTCTACATCTGCTACTTAAATTCCTCTACCTCTCCATGCTTTGCCCCACTACATCAAGAGTTCTGTCTCTACTACTCCCCACTGAAAATGTTCTGGCAAAGGGCTTTTATGAAATGCTCACGATAAAATCAAATAGACTCTTCCTTCACTTTCAGGTGACATGTGGCATTCGGGCTCTTACTTGAAACTCTCTGCCTCCGACTTTACTGACCCACCACTTACTCTTTGGTTCTCATTCCACTCTACAGGTCACTTCTTTATTTTGTTTGCCTGCTGCTTGTAGGGCCGTTTATCTAACACTTTCTGCCTAGTTTTCCCCAGAATTCCATGCCTGTGCCCATCAGACCCCCTCAGAAAGCCAGGCATCTCTTAATGGCAGTCATATAGCACCCCAACATCAGCTTGCTGGAAGAGAAGCTGAGTTCTCTAGTTCACCATTCACCGAATTAGCCGAACCAAAAATGTGCTCACGAGTTCCTTCCTTTCTTTGGCTGTCATCCCCACTTCCCTTATCAAACTTACATAGGTAACAGCGCTCCTGTCCAGACTCTTGGTTTAGAACCTCATTATCACCCAGTATTCTACTGCTCTGCCATCACCACCTCAGTCCTTCGCCTTCCCCATCCATATCTCCTAGGAATCTTTTAAGAAATGCACATTAGAACTGTGTTAACTCCTATTTAAAAGCTTTGCCTCCAAAAAGATTTGAGTTGCAGGCCCATGTCAGTCACTAGCATATAACCTTGGCCAAGCCACTTACCAAATTCTCATTTTTTCTAAAATTGCAATTCAGTCAACAACACTGTTTTTCAAATTTAGGAACTATCTTATGCAGAGCGTGGAGTTCAAGTGAGCATGGGGACAGAATACCTGATTTCCTAAGAGTAGCTACACTTCCATTTATTTTAAGCTTCTATCCCTGGGGCAAAAAGCTTAAATAAAAATGGTCTTGACTAGATTATTCTAAGACATCTCCCAGCTCTGAAATGCTATGATTTTTCTATGATCTTTCTCAAAAAGTACTAAATCAATCACTGGATACAAAATCACCTAAACGTGATTAAATTCATTCTCTCTATATAGTACATAGGAAACTTTCTATGTCCTATAATTTCCATTTCTGCCCCTCTACCTCTCCCATAAAATAACCCATCCATATTTGGAGTGCAATAAAGGAAAGAGATGAAATCATTTGTCTTTTTCACCTGCATGATATTCTACCTGTTTAGTTCCTTGCATACTCCCATACAAGAGAATTTTTTATACGCAGAAATGCTTTCATCTTAAATTCAGTAAATTATTCAAAAGGGAACAGAAATGGGGAAGAAACAAAATAAATGTTCTTTCAAGAAATGTTCTGAACAGGGTGTGGTGGTGCATGCCTGTAATCCCAGTACTCTGGTAGGCTGAGGCAGGAGGAAACAGCCCGGGCAACTTGGCAAGACACTGTCTCCAAATAAAAAAAAGAAGGGTCTGGGGATGTAGTTCAGTGCAAAGGCCCTCAGTTCAATCCCCAGTGTCACAAAACAAAACATTTTCTGTAAAAGAAGAAATTATAGTTCATTTAACATGCTTGGAACAACCTTGAGAAATTTAAGACAATCAAAGAGTTTCCTCAAATATCAAGAAATTACAGATGCATACCATTTTTAAAAAATTTCAGTGTAAAAACCCAATCTGAGTCATTTTGCAACACTGATTTCTTTAAAAAAATCTATCCGAAACAAAACTATTATATCTAAGCACACCACTGCCACAGCAACAAGTATATTTCAAATAAATAAATACTACTACTAACAGTTCTTCAATATTTGTAATGACTGAAATGGTTTATCTACCCAAGATCCTCATAAAGTTTTCAAAATTAGATAAAAGGAACATCAAATATCAGTCATTACTTTAGAAATTTGCGGAGAAAGAATTAGACTCTCATTTATGCTTGTCTAAATGTAGAGAATTACTCACGTAATATAATTTGCCCCTGTAATGAAATGAATTCACTGAAATTTTCTAAAAAGACAATTAAGCATGAATAATCAGTTGTGTCCTTAATTATGTAACTTGGTTTCAAGATGATTTCCCTGCTTTTACCATTTTAGTCTGGGTAATCAATCAAAACAGCAATTATTTTAAAACACAAAGGTTTCCTTTAAACCTATTTCACCTAAATATTTATTAATCACTATTTATAAGTACCATTCAAAAGTCTGCTATTTCCCCATCATGAATGACCTAACATTCGATTCTGCTGCTTCATCTTTCCAATAAATAGAAATTTTACCTTTTGTAAACAATCTTCAGATCTCGCCACTCAAGGAAGCTGCACATTTTAGGTTTCCTTGCTAAGACGGTTTGAACAAGTTCTCTTGTGATCTTTTTCTTCTCTTTGTCTGACAGTGGGACATACCATTTCTGCAGTCGAAGCTTTCCCTGACGACTAAAGAGCAACATAAACTGCATCTGTTAAAGTAAATAAAATCGAGATTACATGTGATACTTGAATCAATAGTTAAGACTCAGAATACACTGTGCTTCAGAGAAGCTTCAGGAGCAAGGCATTAAACTGACCAAATGACTAGTAGCCATCAATATCTCTATGCCAGTTAAAACAGCAGGAAATTCTTTTAGGAAAATCTTATACTAGATGCAAACCTTGCCTTCCCACCTCACGCAGCTCCACACGCGTTTGGAGGAGTGTGGGGAAAAAAAAGAAAAACTGGTAATAAGTTGTAGTAAAATCTTTAAAGAAAAAGAGGACTCTGGTAATTTAAGAAACTGTTTTCTACCTGTGCTATACATTCCACATTCTCTACATGCATCAGAAGAGAACTGTAGACATCAATTGATTTAGGTACATTTGGGAGAAAAAGGAGACCTATTTTTCAGCCTGCGGCCGTTCCAGTTCCACGCTGAATTACTTGCAGGCAGACTGCTTATCACTGAAAATGCTCTCTTCAATTCATTCTAGCAAAAACAGAATGACCTAAAATATTAATCCCCCCCCAACCTTACAAATATACGTTTTTCTTAGGCAAAACCTGATTTTAAGTTATGTCTTTCCCCCTTTCTAAAAAATCCAACATAAACATGCACACAATTAAGAACTGAGTTAATGTATTATGAGACTACAAAGCTTGAAAAAGCTAAGAGTTATACAAATTCAGAGACATACCAAATATTACATCTAAAACAATAAAAGACAGCATTTACCGATGGAATGGAATGCCAAATTCTAGTGTATTTTATACTTAATTTGTATGGATTTCTTTGAAATCTGCAAGTCTGTTGATTAATCTACTTTTCTTGAGGCAAGCATTTTGTAATTCAACCGGTCATTTCAACTACAGATAAGTATTGCTTTTACAAAGGTAATTTAAAGGTAGAATCAGATTTTTTTTCTTTTAATCTTTGTAAGTTCTTTAAAAGTGTAAATGCAAGTAATAGTCAAGCCTGACTCTTAGTATTCACACCATCTTGAATTTGAACCTGGGGAGGGGGAGTTTACATAACCAATGTAGAATAAAATGGGCTCTAAATTTCGACCGAGATAATGTTGATCTTTGCAAAAACCCAAGAAGGCATCGACAAGACACTGTATCTGGAAATTTATGACGTGGCAATTTAACTTTATTGAAGTTAAATTTGGTTTATTACTCCAGTTTTCATGCTTCCGTAGCATAAAATACACGGGTACTACCAGTGATATCAAAGTGCTTCCCATAGAAGTCCTGAAGATAGCCGCATTCGAAGAGCACAGCAAGTGAAACATCAACTGGACATTTAACGCAAACCCGCTACCAGAACTTGGAAAAGAATGGACTCCTTATTCCTAGATCTGGGTGACCCAAAGGGGAGGGAGTTTGCGTGTAGAAAGAGTATGGGTTTCAGGCTGTCTGAAGCAGGGTCCGGTATCCGCCCTACACTTTGTAGGACGAAAAAACAATGTGCTCGCCTTAAAATAAATTATGTGCTAACACGGGACGAAACCCGATTGCAGGGCACACATATTTCTTCCCTCTCGTTAAAAACCAGAGCTTTGATTTTGTCGCAAATCCCAAGGCACCACAATTCCTCGAGACTGGTATTAATAACAATGGGTTCAGCCCTGACTCGGCTCGGGTCCAGCGTTCCTCGGGTCCCGCCGTCTCCGATGCCTCCCCCTCCCAGGGCCACACTCCATCACCGCCCGAGTCCCGGCGAGGTGACAGGCAGCAGCGGAGTAGACAATGGCATCCGGGGCCGCGCAGGGGGCGCCCAGAGTCCGCCGCCGCCGCCCCCCCAACCTCCGGCCCCTCCCAAAGATGCCCCGCAAAACTTGAGGCGATTCCCGAACCACAGGTGCCGCGGGTCGCCCGCGGAGCCCGGGACCCGTCCCCGCACCCCCGGCTCAGCTCAGAGCGGCGCGCCCGGCGCGGAGCTGGAGAGAAGTGAGTTGCGGGGCGCCGCGCCCCACAGGCGGGTCGGGCGGGCTCGGGGTGGG